CCATATCCTCCCCACACCCCTCCCGCCCCCCTCCCCACCACGCATCCCCCTGCATCCCTCCCAGCACAGAGCAATGGTTGTGGGTCAGGCACATCGACGGGACGTTGATGTTGACCCACAGCTGTCTGCAGCCGTTGCAGAGCCACGCAGGGCCACAGCAGTTGCCATGAGCTGTGACCAACGGCTGGGGCTGACTGTGTCCCCTCTCCCCATATCCCCCCCCTCCTCCCCCGGTGAGGGACACCCCGTGGGGACGCGGAGCAGCCAACTGTTCCCCGCTGAGGCCGGCGGACCACAGCCCGGGCTAATCCAATCCATCAAGGGGGTAATGAGCTATGAAAGTGCGGATTCAATTAAGGGGGATTGCGACGGAAGGCAGAGCCCGGTGGCAGACGGAGAAAGGAGAGCTCTACCCTCTGAAAGGGTCCATCTGTGCCGCCGGGTCCCTTCTTTGTGCTCCCTGAAAGGGACAGCGGTGCACAAAAGCGGACGCAGAGGCTGCGGTGCTCCCTATTTCCCTGGAGGGGGGGTTGGGGGTGGGGAAACTGAGGCACGGAGGGGCGAAGGAAGCAGCACCAGGTTGGGTTTGGGGAGCAAAACGCACGGCCCTATGGATGCATGATGGTTTGTGGGTGCTTTCTATTTCCTCTTGGAGTTGGGGGTCCCTTGGTGGGTTCTCCATGGCCCCATTGCCCGGGTGAGCCCCCAAGCTCTGTGCTTTGCCCCCTACGTTGAAGCTCAGTGCCTCAGTTTCCCCATCTGGGTGGGAGATGCACCCAGGGGTTCGTGCAAAGTTCCAACCTCCCCTCAGCTCCGTGCATCCCTGTGGGATTCCACAAGCCTAGAAATCCCCCCACCCTTTTTTCTTCCCCCCCCCTTTGGGGGCTCTTCATCGGAGAGCCGCCCCCTGATTGCAACCTGGGGGGGGGATTGGGATGGGGACGAGTTTAAAGACAGGATTATTCCTGTACAAATTCTGATTAAACCGTCCCCAAGCCCTCCTGCTACAAGATTAAGCAGAGCTCTAATCTCGCCTGAGCAGCAAGACTTCGTCAATAACTCCAAATCTCTCCGCTGTTAGTTTATCTGGTGGGGATTAAGCAGGGAGGTTCCTGAACTTGTATTATAATAGTATTTTTGAAAACAAAAAGAAGGAAAAAGGGGGGAAAAAAAGGAAACGTGTGTGCGCTGGGCAATGCCTGCCAGCCAGCATCGCCTTGCAGCCAGGGCTGGGGCTGCCCCATCCTTGCTGCTCTTTGGGGGAGCACAGAGCTGAGCCCTGGTGGCACCCAAAAGATGTCTTACGTGGCCCAAGCATGAGACCTGAATGCCCCGTATCAGGGTGGGAGGTGGGGGTTTGGTCCTTCCTCATCCTGCACATCCATCCAGAGCATCCTGAGCACAGACAGCCTCACCAGGGCCAGGGAAAGGCCACGCTGACCCCTGGCAGGGATGTTCCCTGGGGTGCCAGGTGGACCCGTGGCATCTTCAGAGCTCCCTGGGTCCCGTGGCAAGGCGTTCCCCCACCATTCTCAGTGGGGCTGGGAATGGTGGCTGTGCTGGGATGGCCCTGGGATGTGGGGTGTTCTGGAGATGAGGGATGTTCTGGAGATATGTGATGCTACAGAGATAGGGGATGATACGGAGACGTGGGATGCTCCGTAGATGATGAATGTTCTGGAGATGTGAGGTGCTCCAGATGTAGGATGTGGGATTGCCCTGGGAAGTGGGTTGGCCCCAGGATGTGGGGTGTTCTGGAGATAGATGTGGAAGAGGTGTGGAATCCTCCAGAGATGCGTAATGCTCCAGAGGTGCTGAATGTTCTGGAGATATGGAATGCTCCAGAGATGTGGGATGTTCCAGATGCAGGATGTGGGATGGCTCTGGGATGTGGATTGGCCCCAGGATGTGGGGTGTTCTGGAGATGTTCAGGAGACAAGGGATGTTCCAGAGATGCTGAATGTTTTGGAGACATGGGATGCTGTGTAGCTGTGGGATGCTCCGGAGACGTCCGGAGATGTGAGATGCTCTGAAGATGTGGGATGCTCTGGAGATGTGGGACACTCCAGATGCAGGATGGATGGAGCAGATGCTGGGGGAACGCCGGCCCTAATCCCCTGGCCCCGGCCCCGCTGTGTAAACACTCTGTACAGCTTTGCAAACAGATTGAAGCACGGCTGATCTGGAGCGCAGCATGGAGCTTAGGGGCTTCCTGGAGCCAGCGTTGGGATTTAGGTGAATTCCCCACCCTGTGCTGTGGGATGGGGGGCCCAGCCCAGCTCCGTGGGGCTGTGGGGATGTGGGGAGGGGGTTGGCTCTGCCCCAGTCTCCTGGCCCCCAGTAGGGCATAGGGGGAGGTAACAATGGGCAACAATGTGTGGGTTTGGGGAGCGCTGCCCTGAGGAGATACGGATAGTTTCCATGCCCTCAGATCAATGGGAATGAGGTTGCTCTGGGGGTGATCTGATCCCAAACCCCTCTGCCTTTACCTCCTTTGGGTCTGTGGGCATCTTCCACCATTTGGGGACACATCTGCAACTCAGATCCTGGGCAGAGGGAAGCAGGGGGATCTACCCAAACGTCCATCTCCAATATCGTGGAAGGAAGAGGTGCTCCTTGAAACCAAGGATGGGTTGGGTGCTTTGTGCCACGCACGTACCCATGGTCCCAGCTTTGCACCACCCCCTTTTAACCCCATTTAACCTAATCGATGCCCATGCTGAGCGGATGTCCCAGCACACCCCCACATCCCCAGCTGCTGTCCTCAGTGCCACCCCAGTGTCCCCTTGGGGACCACGCACAGCTCCTCACCCATGGGACCACGCTGACCAGCAAGAAAGCGAGCTGCCAAAATCTGCTGTCCTCCCCCAGGGTGGGGGGGGGAAAGACGATTAACTCGAGAACCAGCAGCCTGATATTTCAGCTTAGTGGGAAAATCCTCGTGGTTTCCCAAGCTGGCCACATTAGGAGCTCAGTGGCTCACGGCCTTATCAGATTACAAACAATATCAGAATTACAGCTTTTAAAGCTGGGTTTTACAGGGGCTTAGAAATTATACAGCCACCCCATAGGGGGAAGAGGGGCGATTTGGGGCTGGGACCCTCTGGGAGTATCCAAAGGAGCACCCAAAGGAGCACCCAAAGGAGCACCCAAAGGATCTCCCTGCACATAGGATCGTGTCTGTTTGGCTGTGTGCATGCGTGCATGTGCACATGTGTGTGCATGCACATGCATAGGTGTGTACACGCGTGTAATATGTCTGCCATAACCCAGGAGCATGAGTAAGGAAGGTTTGTGGGTCTGTGCACGCGTGTATGTGTGCAATACACAGCAGTGCAGGAGGCTGTGAGTGTGCACACACACATACACACGCGTGCTCACACCCCTTCCTACATGCAGATCCGTGTGTCACTGCATTAAAAAACGTGGGCATAATTTCTGCATCCTCACCTCTGCAACCACCCCATGTGTGCACTGCCCCATCCCAGCTGTGCACCCCACGCCCACCCATGTCCCCCTCTGAGTTGGGGGCATAGGAGATCCCCCATCACACGTTCCCCATCCCTTTGCAGAGGGGCTGCAGCTGCAGGTCCCCCCAGAGAGCCTCTCACTGTGCACAGCTTGCAGGGATGCCACACTCAGCGGCTCCCATTGGGCTCAGCGCAGCAGCCGGCGTGGGGCTGGGGGGGACAGGGAGGCCCAGAGCTGCATGGGGACACGTGGCACAGCCCCACATTGGGGGATGGAGGGAGGAGATGTCCCCACGGCAGCCAGGAGCTGCTCCAGGTTTTGGGGACAGCTGCGGGGCACGGGGCTGTGGGGGAAACGCGCTGAGCATCAGCGCAATGCACAGCCTGAGTGTGGATGGAGGGGGGCTGGGACACTTGTGCACGCACACCTGTGTGTGCTCACGAGTGAGTGTGGGCAGATCTGTATGGGAGAGTGCAAGAGGACGCATGCAAAGTGCTGCCTGCACGTGGCAGTGCACGTGGGACACAGGGGGTGTGCAAGGGCAGGTCTGCGTGCGACCCTACATGCGTGTGGATTTGCACACGAGTGTGAGTGTGCTGAGCACCCTATGAGCACCCTGGGGCAGAGCTGGGGGTCAGATGCCACCATCCTCACCCCTCCATCACCACCCCCCATGGGGACCCTCCTGGGCCCATCCTCACCCCAGCAACACCCAGAGTCTCTCACCCCATTTTTACTCCCCCTGGGCCCATCCTTACCCCAGCCCACCCCCCACACAGGGACCCCACAACCCCAACACTTCACCTTTGGGATCACACCTCCCATCAGTCCCCCCCATCACCACGCTGACAAGGAAAGCGACAGCCCCAGGGCGATGCTGCTTCAAACAAGACCACAACTTTATTATTTGAGCTAAAAACCCAATTCTGCTTTCTTTACAAAAGGATAAACATTTTCTCTCCGTACAAAAGGGATCTGGAGGGGTGGGGGGGGGGGGGGGGGGGGGGGGGGGGGGGTTGGTGGACAGGAAACCTCCAAATTCCCACCTCAATACAGAACACTTCTGTATGATGGTGAGGTTTGGCCAGCCGGGCTCAGCAGGCCAATGGGATTTCAAAAATAGTGGCCTGGATTTTCATGAAAAAAACACAAAGTATTGCATAGCCTTCAAAGTTATTGCTCACAGAAATAATCAGGGATGAGCTGGGAGCTGCTGGGCACCGTCCAAAGGACAAGAAGTATCAGCATTAAATACAGAGCTCACCGTGATGATGGGTAACCCTGGGGTTGAGGGCTGGGATTACCCCATGGAAAACAGATCGTCGGGGTCAGGGGGGGGGGAAATAAATTAAATAAATAGTGGCTAATAAATAATCCCAGAGCTGCGGAAAGCACGAAAACCCCAGCAACGCACCGGGATGGAGATGGGAAAGGAGGAGGGGAGCGAGGAAATAAATCATCTGCACCCCGCATAAATAATAAATAAAAGAGGGGAAGAAGAAGATGCGCTTCTTTGGGTTGGATGTCTTCAGGTACAGCCAGGGTCGGGGCTCAGCCCAGGTATGGGCACCCATAAAGGCATCACATCTGTGCGCCCGCGATCCCAACCAAGGGACCACGAGTGGGGAGTGGGGCTCAGGAGGAGGATGAAGTCCTAAAATGATGCTCAAGGGGAGGATGGAGTCCTAAAATGATGCTCAGCAGTTTCCCACCCGGTCCCACAGAAGTGGTGCCATCACTCTGGTTGCATCTCTTATAGAAAGAGCCCCACACTGTGGCTGATCTCTCTGCCCCAAGAGTCTGCGTCTACCTCTGTTGCTCCCTGAGGTTGGGATGGAGCTGAGGATGGTGTGAGCCTGGCTTGGATCACGATGGTGGGGTTCTCTGTTGGGTGGGGAGCATCGTGGAGGAAAAATCCCATTGGATTCTGCAGGTGGTCTTGAGAGACCATTGGGGAACCACAGCACCAATGGGGTGTGGGGAAGGGACACGGGCTGGAGCCCACCTGGTGCAGGACACATCACACACAGCACCCCACCACCCCAAGTTGGGACCATGTGGTAAACCAGAGATGTGGAGCAGGATTCCACGGAGCAAAGTTGGGAAGCGCTGTGGGGCAAAGGCTCCTCCACGAGCATCACTGGGGGATGGGGAGTGGGGATACGACCCCCAGGCTCCTCCATCCCAAATGGGTTCAGCTTCTGAAGGAGCAGACCCACAGATACAATCACTCCTCAGAGCTGGTTCTGCTTCTAAACCCACATCCCCCCACGGAAAGCTGTGATGTTCAGTGGAGGTGTGGGACTCCGCAGTGCTCTCAGGAAGGGTTTGCATGACTCCTGGGGGTGGCTCTGAACAGCAGCACGGTGACACGAGTGGGAGGGGACAGGAGGGCCATGGGGACGTCCCATGGGGATGCTCAGGAGTCCACCACACTGCCCCAGAGCAGTGATTTCCTCGCTCCAGTTGCGTCCCATCAAAAAAGAGCTCCTCAACGTGGCCGATCTCTGTGCCAAAAGTTTGGCTCTGACCCTGCTTTACTACTCGTTGAAGATGGCATTGAGTTGAGGCCCGGCCACGTGGTGAGGGTAGGACTCATAGCTCATGTCTATGGGGATCTCATAGCGGGGCACTGCGTTTTGGAAGTGGGTGGGATGTCCATGTGCCCCAGCCAGGCTGACAGAAGGGTAGTGAGCCATGAAGGCGTAGGGCTTATCCAGGTCTGGAGAGCCATCCTGCTTCAAGGAGAAGTTCCCACTGATGCTCAGGGGCGGCGTGAGGGGACCCTCGTATGGGGGAGTGGTGCAGTCGGGGGGGTTGCCAAAAGAAGCATCCACCAAACTCTTGAAGGCGGGGGGCTTTAGGTGCAGCAGGTGGGTTTCCATCGAGCCGTAGGGCGGGCTGGGCAGCCCCGGGGACTGGTAGGTGAAGGAGTGGCTGGAAATGGCCGACTCGCACCCGGGGGTCTTCTCCTCGTGCTTCTCCAGGAATAAGGTCTGCGGCCCCAGCTGCAGGCAGCCGGCCACCAGGTTGCTGGTGGGCTGGGATAAACCTTTGCAAAGCATTTCCACGAAACTCTTCCCTTCTGGAGTCTGCCCCGTTTCGAGCACCTCGGACAGAGCCCAGATGTAATTCCTGGCCAACCTCAACGTCTCGATCTTGGACAGCTTCTGGGTTTTGGAGTAACAGGGCATCACCCTCCTCAGGTTGTCCAGGGCATCGTTCAGTCCGTGCATCCGTGTGCGCTCCCGAGCGTTGGCTTTCACCCTCCGAGCCCTGAACCTCTCCAACCTGGCCTTGGTCATCTTCTTCTTCTTTGGTCCTCTTCTCTTCGGTTTCTCCCCATCATCCTCTTCCTCCTCTTCCTCCTCAATGCTGTCGTGCTCTTCGTTCAAGCCCGGTGCCAAACCGAAAGGTCCTTGCCTGCCGTTCTCTGCCTTCAGCTCATCCTTGGAGCTCAGAGCATCGTCCATCCAGCCCTGGGTGCCCACCAGCTCTGCCATTTCCTTGGGTTTGGTGTATGCCTTTGTCATCTCTCAGCTCTGCAACGAGGGGACAGGAGATGTCAACCAAATCCAGCAGGAACACAGAGTCCATTAGGAACTAAAGTCACCCCCCCAGAGGTACCCACTGCTTTCTGTCCATCAGTGGTCCCTACAGCATCCGTCCGTCTGTCTGTCTCTACAATTACCTCCAGAGGATTTTACAGTGGGCTCATTGTTGCAGTATGGGGCACGCAGCACCCCAAGCATGATTTTTCCCTAAAAGGTTGAGTTTTGGACAACATTAAGGGGCAGTAATCAGCTCCCCGTCTCCCATCCAACGCGCCGCACCAGGAGCCAAGGAAGAATTTCCCTAGGGTCTTTCTTAGGAACTCAACTTATTTGAGGTTATTTGGGGTTATTCTCACCCGTGAGTTCGGCTTGGAGCCTGACCTCCCCATCTCCCCCAACCTGAGCACGTTTTATCAGCACATCCTTTACCTCTGCCCTAAGAGCCCAGCCGCTCAGCACAAAGCAGCCGTGGTTTCACATCCATCAGCCCCGCAGATCCTGTCACCGTGCCCGACTCATTTAATAAAGCTTAACATCTAAGCAGCTTTGCTGAAAGTGCGCTGCCCACCGCCCCATCCACCCCACGTGGAAAATCCCACTTTTAATATGAGAGGTAGGGCCGGCAGGTTGGATTAGGGTGTTAATTACTGCGCACCGTATCCCAGGAGGGCCATGTGGCCCCAATTAACTCTCAGGTGGAGCAGTAGGGTAGGAGACCATCAGATGCTTTGAAATCTGGTGAGGGGAGGAGATGATGGAACATCTGGCTGGGATGGAGCTGATCCTGCCTGCATCCTGGTGGGACCACCAGCAAAGCATTGGGGCTGTGAGCCCCAGCACTGCTCTCTTCCCTTCCCTTTGGAGAAGGGAAATGTTTTCCAATTTGCAGTTTTAGAGACTTTGCTCTCTTTGATTCCTGCAGAATATTAAAAAGAGTAGACGAGGAGGGAAATGCCTGATGAAGTCATTGTGGTTGCTTCCCAGTTTGTCAATGAGAAGAAGGAGAACTGGGAGCCCATTGTGGAAAGGGAACCCCTCCAGCCTGTTTTGTTTGGATACCTTTGGTTTTGGATGTCTCCATCCCATATTATCCGAACCAAACACCAAACAAAACCCAGTGCACGAGCAAGCCAGTTCAAACTAAAACTCAATCTCCAATTTGCAATGGCTCAGCTCTCCTGTGTGCTCCTCGCTCTCTCATTGTGTTCCCAGGCACTGAGCTCTCACCCCAAAATAAGAGGGTTCCACCTCTATTCCATTCCTGCAGGACCAGGAATTGGATTTCAGCCCTTCCTTCCAAGAGTTCAGGACAAAGAACTGCACAGCCCCTGGAGTGAAGACCCTGACCCCAAACGGGACCACCCAAAGCAGAAGAAACCCCAGGGAAAAAGGGTCCTGGGAGGATGCTGGTATGAGAACCAGGCACAAAACGGGAAATCATCACAGAGCAGAGCAGGAGGGACAAAACACCTACAGGAGGAGCACGAAAATTAGAATTTACTCAACAGCTCTGTGCTGCATCCTGCCCAGGAACTCAGCAGGATGTGGCCCAGCTGTACACAAACACAGCATGCAGAAAACCCAAGAGCTGCCATCGAGAGATGCTGCTCCTTCAGCCCCAACGTGGCCATGGGACGGCCGTGGGGGCACTGCTGTCACCGAGTCCAGGACCCAGGAGCTCCTGCAGCCCCAATCCCACTCTTGGTCTCACTCTTGGTCCCATCCCTCTCTCAGCCAAGCAGGGACAGAGAAGAGGGGATGCAATGGATTTTAGAGGAGGGAAATCTGCTCAAGGGCATCCCTGCACCCCTGGAAAGGTGAGGGGAAGATGCGGGTGCTTTCATCCATTAAATTCAGCCTGTTCTCGGGATGCAGCACTGCAGGTGGGGATGGGGAGAGTTTGTGGGTCCCTATCCGAGAGCTGAGGAACAAAAGCTGTCGGCTGGAGCACATCCCCATCACCTCCATCACCTCCAGCCCGAGCATCGGCTCAGCCCCGACGTGATGGGGGGGGCCGGGTCCATTGCCAGGCAGAACTGGGGGAGGGGGGGGGTCTCGGTCCGGGTCTGTGGTCTCAGCTGGGAGGCAGAGGGACCGGGGGGAGGGGGAAGGGGGTGAACCAGCTGGGGCCGTGCAGTCCCGTGTGCTGCCTTGGGGCAGACGGCAGTAACCCCCCCGCTGTCCCACCGTCGGGGATGCACGGAGCCGGGCGTGGAGGGGTCGTGGTGTTCCCGGGGGTCCCGGTCCGCCCTTACCTGGGCACCGGAGCGATTTCCTCGCTGTCACTCGCTCATGGTGGCTGCAGCCTCGGGGGTGCGGACGGCACCGGCAGCGCTCAGCTCCGCTCTCGGGGCGGTTTTGAGAGCTCCGCGTTGCCCGCGGCTCCTGCAGTGCCGCCGCTCCCCCGTGACTCCTCCTCCGGGGGGAGGTGACCGATCCCGGCTCCTCCCGCTTCCCGACGGGGCCCCGACGGCAAAACACGGGTGGGTGCTCCGGGATGGGCACCCCGAGCGACCCCGGTTGGGTGCGCCTTGGATGGGGATGAGAATGGGTTCCTCAGGATGGACGTCGCTGGGTGGGCACCTCCAGGTGAGCACCACGGGGTGAGCAGCCCCAGATGGGTACCCTCGGATGGGCACCCCCCCATTGGAACCCATGGATGGACACCTCCAGGTGGGTAACCCAAGGTGAGCATCCTCAGATGAGCACCTGCTGGGTGGGCACCTCCTGGATGAGCTCCTTTGGATGAGTGACCCTGAATGGGCACCTCTAGATAGGCACTATGGGGTAAATACCCCCATATGAACACCCCCAGATCAGCACCTCTGGAAAGACACCCTTTGATGGGTATCCCATGATACCCATCATCCCAGCCTCAGGTGAACAACCCCAGATGGGCACTGTGGGATGGGCACCCCCAGATGGGCACCCTACCATGGGTACCCCCGGATGGGCACCACTGGATGGGCACCCCATTATGGGTACCCCTGGATGGGCACCCTTGGTTGGGTATCCCACTATGGGTACCCCTGGATGGGCACCCCAGATGGGCACCCTCAGATGAGCACCCCACTATGGGTAACCCCGGATGGGCACCCTCAGATGGGCACCCCACCATAGGTACCCCCCGGATGGGCACCCTCGGTTGGGTATCCAACTATGGGTAACCCCAGATGGGCACCCCCAGATGGGTTCCCCACTATGAGTACCTCTGGAAGGGCACCACTGGACATCCTCCCCAGTTTCCCAGCAGCAGGACAGTCCTCTCTCCACAGAGAGGTTCCCATCCAACAAGAGCACAGCCCTGGGTGCTGCTGGTTCTGCCCCAGGTGCTCGAGATGGGCACGGCGGCTGCGTCTTCCTCCTGGCTGTAATGAGAGTGCAAGGGGGAGTAATTAATTGCTGGTGTGGCCAGAAGGGGCCCGTCTGAGATTACTGCTGTCAGACAAGAGAAGGGGCCCAGGGCTCCTGCCTCCGGGTCTGGCTCTGGGCAGTGGGAGGGGGCAACGGAGAAAAAGTAGAATAGATTAATTAAGGAGGAGAGAGATGGGGAGCCTTGCACGGAGCAGAGCAGGGCTGGCCTCAGCCTCTGCTTCTGGTCTACCTGGGACAGATGCTGCCTTCTCCAGCATCAGTTTCCCTCTTTCCCAGTGCTCCCCAGTACAAACCACACAGCTATTGGTTCCCTTATTCATCCTCTGATTGCTGAACATATCACTCACCTCCTCTGCCCAGAGGGATGCAGACACTCAGGTAAGGGGCTGAGCCCCCACAACCCCAGGAGCATGGGGGTGAAAGGAACAACTGCAGTGGAACCCCAAATCCACCCCCTATTCCCATGCCCACCATCCCCATCCCATCCCCTATCCATCCCCATCCCATCCCATTCCCTATACTATTTCATCCTATCCCATCTCCATCCCCATGCCCATCCCATCTCAACCCTATCCCATCCCCATCCCCATCCCCATCCCCATCCCCATCCCCATCCCCATCCCCATCCCCTTCCCCATCTCATCCCCATCCCATCCCCATCCCATCTCCATCTCCATCTCCATCTCCATCTCCATCTCCATCTCCATCTCCATCTCCATCTCCATCCCCATCCCATCTCCATCCCCATCCCATCTCCATCCCCATCCCCATCCCAATCCATCCTATCCCATCTCCATCCTCATCCCATCTCATGCCCACTCCTGCTGACCATCACTACGTGGGGCTCTCCCAGCACACGCCACCATGGAGGACCCTTCACACTCATTTAAAGCTCTCACAATCACATCCTTGGCAGCATGGGATTACGGGGAATACTAATTAATTCATTAGTGGCTTCATGGCTTACTTCCCAGCTCCAGGCCGGGCCGGTCAGGGCATTGGGGGGGGGAACAGATTGCAGCCAATAAATCTGCCTGTTGCCACACCGTCCCCTCCCTGACAGATGGCTCCAACAGGTTCGGATGCACAAAAGGGACAGCGGATCACGCCGGGGGGACACGAACACATCCCCAAGCATGGAGACAACGGTGGCCCCCCAAGCTTGGGAGCACGGCTGACCCCCAGATCCGGGCAGGGCGCTTTGTCTGCTGCCTTTCAGCACCGCTCTGGGGCCGTCCACGTGCCGTACGTTAATCCCATTGTGAGGGGGGCTTTGCATCTGTTCAAGGTTACGGCAGCTCAGAGCTTCCCCCCCCTCTCCCCCCCCCCAGGATCTCTCGTGCAAGATGTTCCCCTTCCCGCTCCGCTGGCAGTGAGCCCACGAGAGGGCTGGGATGGGGGATTCGATGTAGGGAGGGTGATGTAGGGCTGTGATGGGATTGAAGACCCTCGTATCCCAAGAGGGTGATGCTCTGCTCTGCTGGGAGTTCCCATTGATAACACAGGGCTGCAAGAGGACTGGGAGGAGAGGAGCTGCCCCCTGGCAAAGCGCAGCGATGCTTGGGCTGCCTGCAGCCAACCTATGGCCAGCTGTCCTCTCCCAG